AAAAGACATAGATGATAATCCTGCGAAAAGTCATCAAGAAAAATTTTACTTACATGATACAATCTTTTTTTTAAGTGAGGAATATTATGTAGAATTATTATGTTACAATTATTATTACTCGAGACACCGAGTTTTTGGAGCTGTATCATATTATACATAAATAAAAAAATAAAATAAAATTATTTTAAGAGTCTATATAATAAGACTTTTTTCATTTATTCGTATTAATAAAATTATTATTATCTTAAAATTATAAATTTGGCAATACACTGTAAACTAGAATTATATTGCAGTAAACTCAACAAATTTGTTTTTTTTTCAAGCTTTGAATTGGATTTTTCCGCATCTAAATAAAGAATTACAGAAATTAAATAATAAATATTAATCTTATGATTATTAATTGCGATTAATCTTTGATAGATGAAAGTTGATATTATGGTGGTTTTATATATCTCATTACGGTTCATCAATAGACAAGTCATTACATCGATGATCGTTACTGATCATATAATACATCGAATATACAGCAAGTATCTTAATACTTTTAAAGTGTGAAGTGTAAAGTTGTCATTTAATATCGTTATTCTTCAATGATTCCAACAATTAAATTATTCCTACATGGCTTCAGTCTGTTAAACGATTGGGTAGAAAAAGAGTCTTTGCTGTATATGTTTAACGAAAGAAGGACGATAGTACATATAACAAAAATTATATGTGATATTACAACTAAACCCTTTGAATAATGTCAAAAAAATTTCAATGCCCAAAAATTGTACTTTGCTACGTAATTAATTCATAGCTCTCTCTTACCGGTACCTTAATGACGTATATTCGTGATTTTCTATATTCGTGATTTTCATCTTTTCATTCACACACACACACACAGATACAACGACGAAAGCTGTTTCCACACAGTACGCGCAAATAATCCTAATTTTATATTATACATCATATTATATAACAGTATATACGCTATAAATGTCGTAGACTAGTCGCACATTTGATATCTTTCATTCTTCTTTTTTTCATATCGGTCCAAGATTTTTACACTTTCTTATGGCACATAACATTATCCTTAACGACAAGCACAGAACTGTTAAAATCGCGTGAATTGCTAATATTCACGTTCGTCAAATCTAAAGTATCTAAATAGTATTTATTTACTTGTATCTTCTATACATTGATTAGCGACTTGATTTCCCCAGTTTTTTTAAAATAAAGTGATTTATACTTATCGAAAGAGCCCGCCTACGTTTACCGTCAAACGGGCCCCGTTAAAAATTGTACATTAAAAAGTCTTTCAATACACTAGCCTGTGTATTACTATATTATTGTTTTACCACTAATTACTATCAATGACAATAGATAATAATAGATATTATTAATAATAATAGATAGAATCATAGCCTGATATAGTTAACATTCTAATTGGATCGAGAAGGGCATGAAAAAAGAGAAAATGCAATATCCTCCTGAGTAACAAACTGAGATTACTCATCTAAAGTTTGCTCCCAGCATCGAGTTGCTGGTGTAAGCTAATTAATCTCTCTAACTACAATTATAATAAGATTATAATTTTTCCAGCCACATGGCTCGAACTTTCAAATGATATGCTACTCGTTTCCGAATATCTAAAAACTTTACGTCATTGCCATGGCCTCAAATTTAATTGTTTGTGACATTAAGAAAATTAGATATATCATATACAAATACAAAAATCTGAATATTTGGGGTTGGAATAGTTTCATTATCATTACATATACCTACCACAGAAACTCGCTGTGAGAAATATTCGCCGACGCAAATACGTCGCAAACGTTTCCTAAAGAACTTTCCTAAAGAACTTATTATTTATTGTTTATAACGCGTCTGGAACGTATATTTTCGAAATATTTGCGAAGCGTTCATCGAAATCGATTTCTCTTCGAAATCGGCACACTTTGGTCCGGCACACTTCTATAACGTATTTACTGACAAACATCGGATTCTACACTTTCTTTGGTTAACGCGAGAATAATTATATTTAGCACAAATACTGGATGAGAATCAGACCGGTAGCATTCGCAGCTAAACATGCACTGTCCACTCTCAAGTTTTGCTGAGGTAGTGAACATTGTACGGAGGAGAACAAACTCTTAAGATCGGGCAGAGCGTCTAGCGCTGCTAAACGGTGGCAGAGTATTTCGATCTTATTTCCTATGTCATTCTTATATAATTCTTGAACAGTTCTCCGTGGATAAAAGGATACTTATCAACATTTCAAGATTTAACATTCAACATATCGACATCGACAAATGTTTTCAAGCTCTGGTTCGTTTCTTAAAATTAATGGTCCTGCATCAAGTAATTTCAGCGCGTCTACTTTGCAGGATTTCTAAATCAGGTTTTCACGCTAAATCAGGATTTCAATATGCGTATTTATAGGGCTTATATGCGTATTTATAGGGCTTTATATTACACTGTATATGGCCATTGTGTCCATACTGCCCACTCACCTTATTCGCTTACCTAGCACGGATTTAACCATATCCTTAAATATTCGATTGTCCGAATGTCCAATTAAATCAACCCGTCCAATTGTTCCACCCACGGGACGAGTAAGCGATAACGCCTTGTTGCAAGATGCGACGAGGATAATGAACAGATGATGAGCATATTCGGTAACTTACGTTACCTACCCGGAATAGTCCAGTGAGTAGCCTTAACCCGCTAGTCAAAATTCACAAAAGTTCTATCACTTGTATTCAATCTTCTCGAATCACTCCGTTCGCAGGTGACTGAAAAATTGGAGCAGTAATGTCATATTTCCGTAAGTTCTGTAATCCGCATTCTCTTCCGTCACATTTTTTTTACGTCACACTGTCGGAAGTCTTCTATCTGACGGAAATCTCCCTCGAAGACCTGGTCCGAGGATGAAGAAAGAATCAGGTCCATCTAGAAGCAAACGGAAATATAAAGAGAAATGGCGGATAAAGAGAAAGAGAAAAAGAGAAAGAGAGAAGGGATGAGACACGTGGCGATGGAATTTCATTATCTGGTGGAGTTTGAAGAGGTAAGTCGCGTGAGATGTCCTGCAGAGGATTACATTTGAATGAGTAAATCTGGCTAACTGAGAGCGCAATGCAGTCGTCCCAACTCGAAAAGCAAATTGACTCGTAGATTAATTCCTACATCAAGACAATTTCCTTTCTCAACCCTCGCCACCTTGCAATAAAAAAGATTTTGAAGTAACTAAAGTCGCACAGTAGAAATAAAGAATAGCACATTTTATTAATTAGAAAATGTTAATTAAATTAATTTAGTTAATTTAATTAATCTACTTCGCTGAGTTTCGTTTCGGTATATATATATCTATTTCAAAATTTTGTAGTTTTTTTAAAAGCTTAAAAATTTGTATTTT